CTATTATATTGATCTTTAAAGTAATTATTGCCACACAATTCTAGAGTTCATTCCATATTTTCACTGACTACAGTACCTTCACATCTTATATCAACATGTTTCCCAACTTAATTGAACAAATTTGTGTTCCAACTTAATTGAACGTTTTCTTTCTTGTGTAATGACATAATTGTACTTCTGGACCCCCAAAATGTAAGTTTAAACACCAGGATTGCAAGATATTGGTAGATATAAGTATACTTTTGAAATATTTTCCAACGACAATGTTGTCTCTCTTGTGTAAATAAAAGCAATCTGGTTCTTTTCTAGGTTATTTAATTGCATTTTTGAACCCCAATAATGCAGTTTTATGTACGTCGTATGCTACCCTAACTGATTCAGAAGCTGATATGTTAGCATACTGAGTTTTTCTAAAAAATTGCATTCCTTTGTTCTGAAAATATAGGTTTAGACACAAAGCTTGTGATCCTAAAAGGTTTAGAAGATGTTATATTGGTAGATATGGGTTATTACATTGCGATTTTGTCCGGAACGTCCATATCGATCTCAAATCTACTCGAAAGGTACCCGACAACTAGCTAGCTAGCTGTAGGTATAACGGTGATAGCGCTGGCAAAACCACTGACTGCGCGTGAGGTAGCTTTATTTAATGTAGCGGAAAAAAGGGGCGTGGGGTATATTATTATAGACTATAGAGGATGTAGGCAGTATAGCAATCTTGACATCATAATAGCAATCTTGACATCATAATGGTGTATTTTATCTTAAAAACACTATACATATTAATACTGAGACAACCTTATAAGCTACTTCATTAGCCTAACCAATCAAATTTCTTAAAATTAAAGGGGTAGCCCATTTACCTTGTTTGAAAATGCTAAATTATTGAGTCACTCCAAAATCATCGCCAGATTTGCTTAACGGGGTCATGTAAGCGCCTAGGTGGCAGCTATGTGTAACTGTGTTCTCCGTAGTTTTGACAGCCCCGTAGAAAGCCGGGGACAAAAGGTGTGTGTGTGTGGGGGGGGGGGGGCAGTGCCCACCTCCGCCGAATAAAAATACCCACTGTTTGTAATAGACAGCAGTCAGGGATCATCATGTGGAGTATTGATTTTGGAACATGACACCTTGCACCTAGTCTCATATTAGCCTATTGGTTATGTTCTGACATCTATCTGCCATATATTTTGCACTGACTTGCCCAATGGCCCACTGTCGTGGGGTCCCTATCTTGTCACTATGTTCGTTGTTCAGAGTTTGCTAGAGAACGATTTTCTGAGCTGGAAAACAGTTTGTGGCCGTCCAATTTTCAAAATTTTCAAAATTGTCCGGGGGAGGATCTTTGACGGATCATGGCGAGGGCACATGAGGCAAATGCCTTGGCCCGGGCTCCGAAGGGGCTCGGCGATTTGGCGACAAAAAACCAATATATTTTTTTTTATATTTGCTAGAAAAAATAATGAAGCACTCATTCCCCCAAAATCGTGAAACATAGTGGCCTTTTGTCGATGAGTTTTAAAATTATTAGGTAGTTGATATCAGAAATATTCCCATAACCCGAAAACAGAAATAATATTTCAGGTTGACATGTAGCGGTCTTGTTAATTGTCCAATATTTTGTCGGACCCCCGTTTTCACTCAACCAGCTCGCTTGACAAGAATCGGGAACCGATAGAACTAAGTATATGACTTCCCGCCCGGGATAGACTCCAAAGACCACCATTTCAGGTCGAAATTTTAAAAACATTCTTCGGGGAGGACCCCCGGACCCCTTAAACTCCAAGAGGAGAGCCCCCCTTAGGTGTCATCTTGTCCCTGGGGCCCGGCGACCCCATGATCCGTCACTGGGGAGGACCCCGGTACCCCCTTCGCCTTCATACCGTTGGGGGAACCCCCCGCCCCCTAAAACGTTCACTGCCCCTGTGTGTTTTGTGTGTTTTAATTTTAAGTTTGTGATAATTTTTTGTATGTAGTGCAACCAACAACAAGGAATAATTTAGTGAAACAATTTTTAAAAAAAACTTTTGGGTTTCCGAAATTAATGCTGAATTATTAATTAGAATGAAAAATAATGTGAGATACAGATTCCAATAGTATAAGGAACAAATACACAAAACCTAGCGAACTGGGATAAATTTCTGTTTGGTCATGTTTTACATAATTGTATTCTTGTAAAATACCTTTCCTACATCATCGGACATGCTATTTTTTTTCGCACATGGTTAGTTTGTTCTGTGGCCGACAATTCGTGAATGTAAAACGTATTCCAGTCAATGCAGCATACGCCTCATTCACACCAAATTGATATTACATAATTCATTGGCCTGTTGTGGATTTTAAAGATAGATTGCCAGGCAACGAAACATACGCCCACAGCATCTAAGTCGCCTGGGCAGTCAAAAAGGGGTGTCGCATATTTATTTCTTTTGTCGGTAAGGATAGAGAAATGTGGTTTAACGTCCACTCGACACAAACTAGGTCATTCGGGAACTCACATGGTTCAATTTTATTTCAAAAATTCGCTTGCGCGTAGGGGTCTTTAGCAGTGGGAGGAAACTGTAGGACCCGGAGAAAACCCAAAGAGGTTGGACAGGCTACCCTACACCTTGTCACGTACAACCGGGGAATTGAAACCACGCCAGTTGACTCAATGACAGACCCTATGATGCAACGCGCACGCGCTAATCATTCGGCCATCGAACCCCACTTGTCGGTAAGGAAAACATTTACAACACACTAAAATATCATTACGAATAACAAACCCATTAAGTAATTGTCATACTGTTTGGCTTCTAATTCTGCCCTATACTGACGTAAATCTGAAAGTCATTATCGGAAATCATTGAAAATAAATAGAAGTCTTCGTCTCATGACCACACCGTACGGGAGCGACGACAATATACGACATGTTGGAGTATAAAAAAAGTGTCGAAAACCGGAAATCAGCAAATAGGTTTAAAATACATTAATCCATATACCAATCCACATTTCTTAAAATTGTATTTCAAAAACCTGAAACTGGAAATAAACAGGTATAAACATATTCAGGTTATTGACCCACTCCCCAATCTGCTGAGTAAACAACAATATATTATGACGTGCAAAATAATGTATTGATACCTGTTATAGGCGAATTGGTAAAATTATTTTGTGTGATAAAGAGACTGTGATAAATTTGCGTCTCTCTCGTATCCGCCCATTTTCATTCACTCATTCAAATTCTTAGGCAAAGAATCCAGTGTGTAAGTCAGTTATCGACCTTCGACCCTCGGGATCTAGTTAGCTGAACACCCGAGTTCGCGCAATTGAACACTTCGAACGCTGACGCGTTCTCAGTGTACAACCTTGCACGCACTCGGGTGTTCATCTAACTTGAACCCCTCTGTCTCAGTCGATAACCCTTATTTATTTACAACATGACAATAAATAAATGTATTATAATAAGAACTAGTGTCGCATTGCACGACTGGGAAAGTGACAACAATAAATACAGATATGTATATGAAAATAAGAACTATGTGCTACATTGTAAATGAGAAGCATAGAGAAATATGATAGGTATGAAGCTGGCGCGCAGATTGCCAACTTTGCGCTGATTACCCCACGATGTTTTTAGAGATATTGTAGTGTGTCAGACGCAACTATATATTATATTATATATGACCTGCCCCCTATGGTATTTGTAGTGAAATAATTTTCAAAATCACTGCATAATTAGCGTGTGTGCTTAGAAAATAAGATTTTTAATTCTAGTCAGCAGTATCTCATAATCGATGTTGACCACGTGACTAAATGTCAAAAATATTTGCTGTAGTTATATAGTTTTTAGTTCTATGGTTTGACCGATCCTAGTTACTTTAGTAACGAGGTCTTAGAGACCCCTATATGGAGAGAGAGTACTGGGGGTCTCCAAGACTTCGTTACTAAAGTAACTAGACAGATCGCAGCTGTCAATCAAAATAATAAATCAACCAATCAGATCTATATGGTCTGACGTAAATAAAGGTATTTTCAGCAGACGTCAACCACCAACCTGTCATAATGGTAAAGAGATGTGCTTGGCGTACGTGTTATTTGGACAGTCTGGAGAGACTGACGGAGGGTAACCTTTATTCCCTTCCCAAAGCTTGGAAGAACACGCGATACCAGACGAAGAGATAGGGTTAGTAATGGGTGAGCGGAGAAAGGCAAACTTTACATCTTTTTGTATGCACTAACTTACTTAGGTTATTATATAGACTTTTTTTGCCTACTCTTTTTTTTTCAAACGAAATACACTCGACCATTTTCAGCATTATTTTTCTTATGTACCGGCAGGCCTTATCTTATAGGCTAATAAATGTGGCCGTTTTTACAATGTGACATTAAAATGTCAGTATTTCCTCTCAGACATTTTATAAATTGATTTATTCATTCGGTTATTGCACCAGGGCAGTAGTGACAGTCAGTAGAAACAATCTTTTTCATAACATAATTAATATAGTTGATCTTATTTGTCTGTAACTCATATATAGGACTATACTACAGAACAGGTCTGCAGGCTAAATAGTTTGGGCAGGGGCGAAGGACCCGACAAGAACAACGGTCTAGTCGTTTGGATGGGATAAAAAAAACCGAGGTCCCGTGTACACATTGGTGTGCACGTAAAAGATCCCTTGACAGTTGGAAATCGGTATAAAAGTAGGCCGTAGTGCTACTGTCCGGGCAAAATTTCCCTCATAGCTCACTGTATGGCGTATACCCGTCTTCATTAACCCTCCAGAGCAGAACAGTAGGATGTTAAACCCCATTTCATTTCATTTCGAGCATGGGCCTTAATTTCAAGTTTGATTAAGACGTTAACACAAAAAAGAGAAGGCAGACAAAGCAAATCAAGTTGCCAATTAAAAACTAGATAGTTATTATCTACGAGAATGAAATGGTCATGTAAATTTAGTTATATTATGTATCATAATAATAATATTCTAATTATTTTTTTCGTTTTTCAGCCAGATCACATCGCTGCACTGCATTATGATCATATTGCTCAACCAAGACCACCACCTAAACCCAGTTCAAGTAATTTTTTGAGAAACCTGCAGTAGTTGAATCAAAGGTTTTAAGGTAACAATGGGTTTATCAGCTGTAGAATGATTATTTCCTGTCACATGTGCTCACAGTATTCATACAAAGGCTTAGAATCACTGTCTTCTGTCCTATACTGGGGGTTTAGGTTTTCGAATGGTTAACACGTGCATTTTAGATCATAAGGGCTTTCAGTGAGTCAAGTGAGGTGGTTTCGAACCATTCGAACCAATATTTGTCTGTGGCAAAGCACGTCTGTCCAACCACGTGGGTTTCCTCTGGGTCCTACAACGCGGACAGGAATTATTGAAATAAAATTGGACAATTTGTCAGTCCAAAAATGACCGATCTAGTTTGTGTCAACACTACAAACTTCTCTATATCATTTTTGATATATTTCATTTAGATCCTGATATAAAGTACATACATTCTTTATGCGTCTGTAACTGTAAGTTATGGTAATAGCATGAAATTAAAATTGAGAAAATTGTGTTAATGCTGTAATTATTTTTATTAATGGCTAGTCTAATTATTATATTTATTTCAACGAGCCAAGTCACAAACAATTGCATCTGGTGTAGCACCTAAAAATGTCATGAATATGATTCCCATATACATTTGTTTAGCAATAGTTTCGTTTGCTTGCTTATAAGAAGTGGGAACAGAATAAAAATTACTTTTGTCAAATGTGCTTTTTAAAAATGAATTTTTTATTCTTTCTTTTCATAATAGCTCCAAAATTTGGGACAGTAACACCACACTTTCTTTCGTTCATCCAGTAGACGTGGTACAAGGGTTAATCAGCGAACTGGATGTATGAGATGTGTTGTTGACGTTTGGGAAAGTAGGACGAGGGGAAATGTGTAGGGAGTGAAGTGCTGTAAAGGGATAGTTAGATGTATTATGAATGGTTCGAGTGGCTGTGGTGTTACGGTGAAATACTATGCCGCCACCGTAACACCACAGCTTTATGATTTGTTAGACAGGAGTGATGTAATGGGTGTCAACAACTGGGTATGCTGGTACCGTCGCAACGTAGCCGTGAAATATATATTGTGGGGGGGGGGGGAGGGCGGAAACGGAAAAATATACAATGTTGACAGTATGTGCCAGGCATGAGGCTGCGCAGACCGAGCGGCAGCTCGATAGGGAGTTTGTGGGAGGGTCACCCTCATAATTATTTTTTTTTTTAAATTTCAGTTTTCTGTAAGCAGTGAAAACTGAAAGCGAGTAATCTCGACTCAAACCTATAGTCTATAGCCTACTTACTACACTCGTCACTAGGCTTCCTATATTATTGTTTGTGGACGGTTTACTACTCAGTGATAAGCCTGCGCCGCAAAAAGAGGTCTCGCCTTTTATTATTAGTATAATGACTTCCTCATGTGCGGCAGGTTAGTTTGCTTCTAAAAACACTGTTTTCCGTTCCAAAAAATACAAAAGTAATTTTCTACCAGATGACCATGGTTCTTTTCACCGAGACTAGATAATTTCTCTCGGTGTAAGGATATAGCTATGGATAAGTTCATACAAGGTCAATAAATCCGCGGTCACTTCGGGTCACACTGTTGAGAAAATAAACCGATCGGTTTGTTTAGTAGCAAATCGAGCGTGAATCAACTGAGTTTGTACTGAAAAATTTTTGAGTGATATGTATGAACTGTCTTCACACATTCGGTTTATAATTAGCGATACACAGGTACAGTGGCAAGTGTTGTACTTCACAGACTGTTTACCTCCGAACTACCTCCGCACGAAATCCCCGATTTGGGTACTTGTTAAAAGAAAAAGAAATAGTACCTGTGCGCATGCCAGAAAAAAAAACCTAAGAGTTCGCGCATAAAAATGCCCGAACGTACCAGGCGCCAGGTCATCCAGGTCTTATTATTATTTCTTGTAAATCTCTCTATTTTTATGGCTTCATCTTGCTTTACATCTATTTATTTCCACAGAACTTTCATCTTTTCTATCTGATTTTAATCTAAATGTACATAACTGGTTTTGGAAAAACTATTTCGCCACATGTATCAGAGTTCTCTGTTCTCGGTTGAGTTGTCACTTGCATAAGGGGTACCTGAAATACATATTGTAATCTATTTACTGTATATATTTTTCAGGATTTCAACCGATGGACATTTTGGCCCTTGCTGCAGAAAATATGAAAATTAAAGGAGAATATGCAAAATTAATTGTGGAAAATGAAAATCTTAAATGCAGTCAAGTTCATCAAGTATGGCCACACAGAAATATTATCATTTAAAACTGATTATGGCTGACTTGTCTGTTGCATTTTAACAAATTTTATGCGATTCCTTATTGAGAAATAAAAATGGAATATAAAATACTGCATTATGTCTTCTTTGTTACTGAAAATACAGGGGGGGGGGGGGTAACTAATGATCTTGTTTTAATACGGTTTTGCATCTGCCGTTTTGCTGAAAAACCTAAACTGGCCCAAATCAATGTAGATACATTATTACGTACATGATATGCAAGTGGGGATGCAATAAGTTGAGGGCCAATAATGGGTGTTGTTATGGAGTCAGCTGTGCTACTCACCAAGTATGAGATTGGACTGTCCTTCAAGGTTTGAAGATGTAGTATATTGGCATCTGATACTTGAATTTTTCTAAAAAAGAAAGTATTAAGCTACAAAGCAAGCATACCGTTATTTGAAGAAATTGCATTTGACACTCCTTGTATTTTACCATACTTTTTGGATCATATTTTTAACTGGACGATCATAATAATTACATGACTACCTAAGAACATTTTCTTATGTGGTGGTTGCCCATACATGTCATCTGAACACTTACCTGTTGTCGTTAAAATTAGCCATCACAGGCTTTCTTTTTCTGCCTTGAAATTATAATCTGTGAAACAGGGTCTGGTTAAATTTTCGCTGCTATGGTAAACTCGTCCATGATGGTTGAGAAGGTACGTTTTACTATCCTGCTATCTTCCATTTCAATCATTATTATTATTGCCAACACATGAGCACACTATCATCTCATTCTAAAAATACAATGATTTTGCAAGGTTAAAAAGGTTCATATAAATAGGTCTACTACTAGTAGTAGGCTAATATGAATGTGAAGATAAAAAATAGGACCTAATAATAGTCTAGTCGTAGTCACTAATGTCAGACATATTTTAACCATGTGATTAAAAGTTAATCTTTTGATCATTCAGTCTGATTGGTTTTATTCAGGTGATTTAACATGCCAATAACATAAACAAGCCCTAATCTGCTATTATGAGTATGAGATTAAAATGCAATTTTTGGCTTTTCCTTATGAGTTGTTACTAATAAGTAATATTACTATTATTCTTAGTGCAAGAATAAATGGATTACTATAGCCTAGACTAGTTAGATGACACAAGATATGGGTCCTATTATTGTATCAAAATGAATAAAAATCTGTTGCAAGGCAAGATAGCTCACCCATATTAATGGCCGAAATTGTATACGGAAAAATCGCAAATTTCAAAAGCCCACTTGTACTAGAATATCTACTACGGTATTCAATAATTCAGTCGATTCCAGGCATTTTGATTCACTTTCTTCTTTCAGTTTCACGTCGGAAACGATCAATAAAAAGATAAAATAGATTCGTAACTTGGTAATCTTACCTTTTCTTTTATCTTAGATCACAAAGTATGTCATGTAGACCTCTCGACGGAAACTGCTTTATAACTCAAAGCCCTTCTAATTTCTTCTTTTCAGGTAGTCTTCTAAACACTATGCGGTCATACTTTTCTTTCCGTATCGATTTGCTCGTACTTGTACTGACAGTAAACTGACGGTCACAAAATTCATTAAAATGTAATCATTAAAATGACTAATTCTAACGCACTGATCCATAGTGAATATCGAGTAAGATTAGGCGGATTATCATCGCGGTAATCCATTTTAGTCCGGACAAAGTTCACTTCGCGCGCTCAGATTACTCATCGGAAATTAGACGGAGATTCGCGCATGCGTTCTTGCTTTACATCTATTTATTTCCACAGAACTTTCATCTTTTCTATCTGATTTTAATCTAAATGTACATAACTGGTTTTGGAAAAACTATTTCGCCACATGTATCAGAGTTCTCTGTTCTCGGTTGAGTTGTCACTTGCATAAGGGGTACCTGAAATACATATTGTAATCTATTTACTGTATATATTTTTCAGGATTTCAACCGATGGACATTTTGGCCCTTGCTGCAGAAAATATGAAAATTAAAGGAGAATATGCAAAATTAATTGTGGAAAATGAAAATCTTAAATGCAGTCAAGTTCATCAAGTATGGCCACACAGAAATATTATCATTTAAAACTGATTATGGCTGACTTGTCTGTTGCATTTTAACAAATTTTATGCGATTCCTTATTGAGAAATAAAAATGGAATATAAAATACTGCATTATGTCTTCTTTGTTACTGAAAATACAGGGGGGGGGGGGGTAACTAATGATCTTGTTTTAATACGGTTTTGCATCTGCCGTTTTGCTGAAAAACCTAAACTGGCCCAAATCAATGTAGATACATTATTACGTACATGATATGCAAGTGGGGATGCAATAAGTTGAGGGCCAATAATGGGTGTTGTTATGGAGTCAGCTGTGCTACTCACCAAGTATGAGATTGGACTGTCCTTCAAGGTTTGAAGATGTAGTATATTGGCATCTGATACTTGAATTTTTCTAAAAAAGAAAGTATTAAGCTACAAAGCAAGCATACCGTTATTTGAAGAAATTGCATTTGACACTCCTTGTATTTTACCATACTTTTTGGATCATATTTTTAACTGGACGATCATAATAATTACATGACTACCTAAGAACATTTTCTTATGTGGTGGTTGCCCATACATGTCATCTGAACACTTACCTGTTGTCGTTAAAATTAGCCATCACAGGCTTTCTTTTTCTGCCTTGAAATTATAATCTGTGAAACGGGGTCTGGTTAAATTTTCGCTGCTATGGTAAACTCGTCCATGATGGTTGAGAAGGTACGTTTTACTATCCTGCTATCTTCCATTTCAATCATTATTATTATTGCCAACACATGAGCACACTATCATCTCATTCTAAAAATACAATGATTTTGCAAGGTTAAAAAGGCTCATATAAATAGGTCTACTACTAGTAGTAGGCTAATATGAATGTGAAGATAAAAAATAGGACCTAATAATAGTCTAGTCGTAGTCACTAATGTCAGACATATTTTAACCATGTGATTAAAAGTTAATCTTTTGATCATTCAGTCTGATTGGTTTTATTCAGGTGATTTAACATGCCAATAACATAAACAAGCCCTAATCTGCTATTATGAGTATGAGATTAAAATGCAATTTTTGGCTTTTCCTTATGAGTTGTTACTAATAAGTAATATTACTATTATTCTTAGTGCAAGAATAAATTGATTACTATAGCCTAGACTAGTTAGATGACACAAGATATGGGTCCTATTATTGTATCAAAATGAATAAAAATCTGTTGCAAGGCAAAATAGCTCACCCATATTAATGGCCGAAATTGTATACGGAAAAATCGCAAATTTCAAAAGCCCACTTGTACTAGAATATCTACTACGGTATTCAATAATTCAGTCGATTCCAGGCATTTTGATTCACTTTCTTCTTTCAGTTTCACGTCGCAAACGATCAATAAAAAGATAAAATAGATTCGTAACTTGGTAATCTTACCTTTTCTTTTATCTTAGATCACAAAGTATGTCATGTAGACCTCTCGACGGAAACTGCTTTATAACTCAAAGCCCTTCTAATTTCTTCTTTTCAGGTAGTCAACTAAAAACTATGCGGTCATACTTTTCTTTCCGTATCGATTTGCTCGTACTTGTACTGACAGTAAACTGACGGTCACAAAATTCATTAAAATGTAATCATTAAAATGACTAATTCTAACGCACTGATCCATAGTGAATATCGAGTAAGATTAGGCGGATTATCATCGCGGTAATCCATTTTAGTCCGGACAAAGTTCACTTCGCGCGCTCAGATTACTCATCGGAAATTAGACGGAGATTCGCGCATGCGTTCTCAGTGTACAACCTTGCACGAGCTCGGGTGTTCATCTAACTTGAACCCCTCTGTCTCAGTCGATAACCCTTATTTATTTACAACATGACAATAAATAAATGTATTATAATAAGAACTAGTGTCGCATTGCACGACTGGGAAAGTGACAACAATAAATACAGATATGTATATGAAAATAAGAACTATGTGCTACATTGTAAAGTGGGATGCCAAATGAGAAGCATAGAGAAATATGATAGGTATGGTGTCATGAAGAGACCTTTACTTGGGATAGCCCATAAAGCCTGACGTATATAACATCCGTTATATTACGTAATGAACTGTGTTGAATTCCTCTGTTGTTGATCCACTTATAACGGAAAAGAAATCTGTGAATTAATTAAGTTAATGTGTTAATTTCAGCAAGTAGATAATTTTATCAAATCTATTAACTTTGAATTGCAGATCATTAAACCTAATGATTAAGTTCCGTGAGTGACCTACAATTTTTCAGAAACAACTCAGTTAAACTAAACCCTAGTGATTATGTTAGGCGCAATCTTCACTCCTCGCGCAGATTGCAATCTGCGCTTATGAAGCTGGCGCGCAGATTGCCAACTTTGCGCTGATTACCCCACGATGTTTTTAGAGATATTGTAGTGTGTCAGACGCAACTATATATTATATTATATATGACCTGCCCCCTATGGTATTTGTAGTGAAATAATTTTCAAAATCACTGCATAATTAACGTGTGTGCTTAGAAAATAAGATTTTTAATTCTAGTCAGCAGTATCTCATAATCGATGTTGACCACGTGACTAAATGTCAAAAATATTTGCTGTAGTTATATAGTTTTTAGTTCTATGGTTTGACCGATCCTAGTTACTTTAGTAACGAGGTCTTAGAGACCCATATATGGAGAGAGAGCACTGGGGGTCTCCAAGACTTCGTTACTAAAGTAACTAGACAGATCGCAGCTGTCAATCAAAATAATAAATCAACCAATCAGATCTATATGGTCTGACGTAAATAAAGGTATTTCCAGCAGACGTCAACCACCAACCTGTCATAATGGTAAAGAGATGTGCTTGGCGTACGTGTTATTTGGACAGTCCGGAGAGACTGACGGAGGGTAACCTTTATTCCCTTCCCAAAGCTTGGAAGAACACGTGATACCAGACGATGGTTAGGTAGATGCGGACGACCAGTTAAACGAAGAGATAGGGTTAGTAATGGGTGAGCGGAGAAAGGCAAACTTTACATCTTTTTGTATGCACTACCTTACTTAGGTTATTATATAGACTTTTTTTGCCTACTCTTTTTTTTTTCAAACGAAATACACTCGACCATTTTCATCATTATTTTTCTTATGTACCGTCAGGCCTTATCTTATAGGCTAATAAATGTGGCCGTTTTTACAATGTGACATTAAAATGTCAGTATTTCCTCTCAGACATTTTATAAATTGATTTATTCATTCGGTTATTGCACCAGGGCAGAAGTGACAGTCAGTAGAAACAATCTTTTTCATAACATAATTAATATAGTTGATCTTATTTGACTGTAACTCATATATATGACTATACTACAGAACAGGTCTGCAGGCTAAATAGTTTGGGCAGGGGCGAAGGACCCGACAAGGACAACTGTCTAGTCGTTTGGATGGGATAAAAAAAACCGAGGTCCCGTGTACACATTGGTGTGCACGTAAAAGATCCCTTGACAGTTGGAAATCGGTATAAAAGTAGGCCGTAGTGCCACTGTCCGGGCAAAATTTCCCTCATAGCTCACTGTATGGCGTATACCCGTCTTCATTAGCCCTCCAGAGCAGAACAGTAGGATGTTAAACCCCATTTCAT